ATCAGATCGTAGAAACTTTATTTTCTTGTTACGATGATTTTCCACTTCACTCTGAAATTATATGAACTTTTCAAATGTTTCAGACTTCTATTTCATTAAGTAGATATACCCATATCTGCTCAAATCATCTGTGAAGGTCAGAAAATAATGATACCCGCTGCAAGCCTTAATATTCATCGGACCACATACATCAGTATGTATGATTTCCAACAAATCTGTTGCTCGCTCCATTGTTCCGAAGAACGGCGTTTTAGTCATCTTGCCAAGAGGCATGGTTCGCAAGTATCAAGTGATTCCAAAATCCCATCAGCATGGAGTTTCTTCATGCGCTTTACACCAATATGACTTAAACGGCAGTGCCACAAATAAGTTGCACTATCATTATTAATTTTGCATCTTTTGGCTTCAATATTATGAATATGTGTATCACTACGATCGAGATCCAACAAACCATTTTCGTTGGTGTGTATGATCATAGAAGGTTTTATTCATTTAAACAGAACAATAATTTATTCTCTTACTTAAATGAATAACCGTATTGCAACAAACATGATCAAATCATATTCATGCTCAACGCAAACACCAAATAACACTTATTTAGTTTCAACACTAATCCCGAAAGTGTAGGGAGTGTGCGATGATGATCATATCAATCTTGGAACCACTTTCAACACACATCGTCACTTCACCCTTAACTAGTCTCTGTTCATTCTGCAACTCTTGTTTTGAGTTACTACTCTTAGCAACTGAACTAGTATCAAATAATGTTGCTATAAACACTAGTAAAGTACACATCAATAACATGTATATCAAATATACCTTTGTTCACTTTGCCATCCTTCTTATCCGCCAAATACTTGGGGCAGTTCCGCTTCCAGTGACCAGTTCCTTTGCAGTAGAAGCACTTAGTCTCAGGCTTAGGTCCAGACTTGGGCTTCTTCACTTGAGCAGCAACTTGCTTGCCGTTCTTCTTGAAGTTCCAGTACGGTACCGAGCTTTGTGTTACAATCTTCGCAATTGGGGTACAACCCTTTTTTGTGATCCTCTAACATGCGATCGAACTTCAGCTTCTCCTTTTGACTTTCGCATTGCGTCCTTGCATCGACAATGACCTGGCAGAGATCATCATCATCGGGCACATCGTCTGGTTCCTCTTGATCTTCAGCAGCTTCACCCGTTGCAGCATCATTGGGCACATTGTCTGGTTCCTCTTGATCTTCACCAGCTCCCCCCGTTGCAGCATCACCGTATTCAGGGGGCACATAGTTGTCATCGTACTCTTCTTCTTCGCCGTCTTCTATCATAACCCCTATTTCTCCGTGCCTCGTCCAAACATTATAGTGTGGCATGAAACCCTTGTAAAGCAGGTGGGAGTGAAGGATTTTCCGGTTAGAGTAAGACATCGTATTCCCACATTTAGTGCATGGACAACACATGAAACCATTCTGCTTGTTTGCCTCAGCCGCATCGAGAAACTCATGCACGCCCTTAATGTACTCGGAGGTGTGTCTGTCGCCGTACATCCGTCGGTTCATCTGCGTGCATTATATATAATTAAGTGTCCAAATTAATAGAAGTTCATCATCACATTAAAATCAAAGTACATACATAGTTCTCATCTAACAACATATAGCTCTCCAGAGCATCTAATTAATTAAACCATACATCGAAACTATGTAAGACATTGCAATGCGAAAACAAATGCGATCATAATCGCAACAAAGGTAACAATTGATCCAACGGCATAATGATACCAAGCTTCGGTATGAATGGCATATTTTCTAATCTTTCTAATCTTCAAGCGCATTGCATCCATCTTGATCTTGTGATCATCGACGACATCCGCAACATGCAACTCCAATATCATCTTCTCCTCCTCAATTTTTTTTCAAGAAATTATTTTCTTCTTCAACTAAATTTAACCTCTCGACAATAGGGTCGGTTGGAATTTCCGGTTCACATACCTCCTAGATAAATAAAATCTATGACGTTGGTCGGCATGATTTTCATAAACAATAAATGAACCAATAGTTATAAAGATAATATATACCACATCCGAATCATAGACAGGACAAGGGCCGACGGGGGCGGATACCAAAACCATCGCACTATATAAGATGCAATAATAAAAGTAAGAAAATAATACAAGTATCTATGTAAACATACAAGTAAGAATATTTTTTCCTTTCAGAAAGAAGATAAGAACAAGAGGCTCACCACGGTGGTGCCGGCGATGAGCTCTACGAGGGTGATCGGCGGCGGTGAAGACGGGGACGGGGCGTGACGGACCGCTAAACCTTGACAAATATTGAGAAAAATGGAGCTTGGAGGTCGAGCTTGGAGAGGAGAAAGCTTAAGTAGTGTGGCTCGGGCATTCCATCGAACACCTTGTGTGCATGGGAGGTGAGCTAGAGCACCACCAAGCCCTCTCCCCCTCGGCGGCCAGAAAAAACAGAGCAGTGTGCTCTGCTCTCACGCGAGGGGGTATATATAGGCACCTCATTGGTACCAACCACCAACCGGGACCAATGGTGGTGGGCCAGGAGTCAAGCCCATTGGTCCCGGTTCGTCCCACAAATCGAGACCAAAAGATCCAGCCGAACCGGGACCAATGGCCCATGTGGCCCGGCCGGCCCCCTGGGCTCACGAACCGGATCCAGTGCCCCCATGCGTCCCGGTTCTGAACTGAACCGGGACTAATGGGCTGAACCGGCCTGGACCTTTGCCCCCTTTTTTACTATTGTTGGCAAGCGCTTGCCTTGCCCAGCCTAGCAAGGAAGCCAATTATTTGGTTAGTGGGCAATCATGCATCATTACACCTGTGTTTTCCTCCTCCTTTGACCCAATGGGCGAGCGGGAAGGGGGTGATAAATCACGACGCGGATGTAAATCACTCTCCCCCATGGCCGGCCGGTCTTCGTCCAGGTACCGTTGTGTTAGCTCCGTTTTGTGAGATGCCTCTCATGTCCAAGACAAAGCCACATCACTTGTAAAGGCCATCCCTCCCCTTTCTATATGATCACGTTCCTATGGCGCAGTAGCGGTTCGCTCTTCGAAACTGCTCTGTGTACGATGGATTTCTTGTCCGATCAGTATGATCAGAGAGCAAAGCATCTCTAACTGCTATGGCCCACAAACTGAATTATGTCTAATCGTACAGTGTTGGACAAGCATTCTATCGTACGTATAGCAAGGTTGTTCGCTCTTAGAGGGGCTCACATGTGCTGCACTGCAAAATTTCGACTTCGTGTGCCCGTTCTGCTAATTCTTACTTCGAATTGGACTTTGTCAGGGCAACACCAATCGCCTAACCTCTTCAAATTTGCCGTCTGTCTGACCACAATTCATATAGTCAAGGCCACTAACCACAATCCTCTTGCTACCTGGTTGGATTCGTAACTTGATCTCCTCCCACTCTCCATATAAATATGTAGGGTTGTAATATTGTAGGGACGTAAGAAAACAGCCTAGGCACATACAAGGTACTCCGTCCATTTCTACATACAAAGCAAAGTGGGTGAATCAACACTCTAAGGTATGTCTATATACATTCACCAGTGATTAAAAGTTTGACTTCACCAGCTGCAGGCGTCATCCCGATCGGTGCGGCGACCCGCTAGACCTAGCCGTCTGCCTTCGAGATGTCGGTGACATTGTCGAAAGCCCAAACCCGGCAGTGCAGACTCGGTGGGCGAATGACGCCCCTTGAAATAATCACTTCCAAGTCATTATGCAGCCAACAAGACTTTAGATAAGACTTGAATTCCTGGTAACTCTATTTCTTACTTTTTTTAATAATAATTTCTCTCTCTCAAAAAATGATTCGTATATAATGTCCTTAATAAATACTCCGTTCATCCCATAATATAAAAGCGTTTTTTATACCAGTGTCAGTGCTTTGTTTTATTTTTCTGAATTGACTGATGGGTTGGAGTTGAATGGGCCAGCATTACATGCTGGTAGGCCGCTGCACTTTCCTCTCTCAAAAGGAAAAAAAAGATAATCTCCATTGGTCTGTCCGCAGTCTTCCCACAGCACACAACGGCGGCTGTCGCCGGCGAACAGGAGGAGCTGCGCCGCCGGCGACCTCAATCGGCCCCGTCCCCGGCGAATCGAGGTCAGCCCACCCCTTCTCCTTCCCCTCCTTTCCCATCTCCCACTGATTCCCTCTCTTTTCTATCCTCTGATAGCTCGTTCGCGGCGGTGTCCGGTCGGAAGAAGGGGACGCCGCGCGCCCGCCCCGCCACGGACGCCGGGCGCTGCCACGTCTACAGCCTGCCGCCGAAACCGTGCGCCATCTCTCGATCCCGCCTCCCTCTACACGTTGCTGGTTGCCGACCTCGGAGCCAATCCCCTTTTTCTCTTTTCATAATTAATTTATCATCTGAATTTCGTGGTGTGCAAGAGCTATGGTTATGAATTTGATTTACACTGCAGTGCCTCAGTTATGCAACAACTTTATTAACAGTGTATGTTGTTGATGTTATGGGTGTTTTAGATTTTACACAAAAGCTCTGTCGCTAGAAGCCATCCCGAACACATACAGAGGGTTACAAATACTAGTACAAAATGCCTCTCTGCACTAGCTGAAGCTGTTCCTAACCCACCCATAAATTTGTTACCATCCTACTTGTATTCCTCAAGATCTGGGCACGAGATTCACTTCTATAGCCACATCTGGGCACTAAGATCTGGATTACAACTTTAAGGAGAAGCACAACTACTTAAGGCATACACACAGCGCAACACACTGACCAGTGGGTCCCCTAGTATGCAATCCATTTCTTCCCCAGGTACCGGCTGGACTGCACATGGGGTCTCTCTAACCTGCAGGGTCCAGCCTTGATCTCTTCTGCTGCTGTTGATCCGGCTTCCTCTGAAACAGCACTGCTCTCCTCTTCTTCAGTTTCAACAGTTATAGTTTTAGTTGGTTGCTCTGCTTCCCCATTTGTCTCCATGATGAAAATGCCCACTTTTCAAATGCAGAATCTGGGCAACTGATGGAGCAACTGAGTTCCAGTCGATATGGTATTGATGAGGTAATGTTGCATATGTAGTCAAGATATATCACCATTGTGCATTTTCGTCCAAGCTAAATAAAATTATCTCTACTTATTTGCAGGTCACTTATCCTGCACCTATTACTGAACCTTCACGGTCATTAGATTACCTTCCTACGAGAGTAGCTTGTACACTATCACAGGGATCTAATGTAACTAGCATGGACTTTCATCCTTCCCATCATACACTACTACTAGGTACGATTAAAGTTGATAATTTACTATATCTAAAATATATATATGTGTATAGATGCAGTCGCAACTTTGCAAGTAATAAAGTTGTTTCATGTGATTTGGGTGTATATTAGGATTTCAACACTTCATTAATTTTCTTGTCATTATTACTACTCAAATAGTTGGATCTGCTAATGGTGAATTTACACTTTGGGAGATCGGTATGCACGAGAGGCTGGTCTCAAAGCCCTTCAAAGCCTGGGACATGCAAGCATGTTCAGCACAATATCAGGTAACTGAGCACAATTTGAAATTCTGTATGTAATTTGCTCCTCTTTGGTTTTACTTGTAGTAATGTAACTTGTTTGTAAGCATCTACATGTTCTCATATTATATATGTGCCTCGCCATTTGTCTACTGTGAGAAAAGAGTGTCATGGCTAAAGACTCTTCCGTGGCCGTTAGTCGAGTTACATGGAGCCCTGATGGAGACTTGATTGGTCAGTGTCAATATTTCGATCTCCAGCCAGTAACTCTGTATTGCATTCAGTGTTCTTCATATTGTGCTCCATTGTTGCTTAAGCTTACTTTTTTTGCTTTTAGGAGTTGCATTTACGAAACATTTGATCCATCTGCATGCATATGAGCATCCAAATGAAACACGCCAAGTTGTAGAGGTTTGATCTTCTAATTGTTCATTGAACATCAGTATATAGATGTTACATTTCATTATATGTTGAGTGACTTCTGTTACTAAACCATTTATTCTTGATGTTAGATTGAGGCTCATTCTGGAGGAGTTAATGACATAGCTTTCTCCCGGCCAAATAAGCAACTTTGTGTTGTCACTTGTGGAGATGACAAGCTGATAAGGGTATCTTACATGTCTTAAATGGTTATTATCTATTTCCTTTTCCCCAGCCTGGTCTTTTTAACTTCCTTCCCATTTTGTAGGTCTGGGATATGCATGGACAGAAATTATATTCATTTGAAGGGCATGAGGCACCTGTGTATTCTATTTGCCCTCATCATATGGACGCTATTCATGTGTGTGCTATCTGAATACAATATTTAGGCATTAACATCTCAGCATGCAATGAATATATGTGGTTGCTCCTTACTCTATATGCTGCAAAAGTCTACTCAACTATAGTTTGAATTGAGGCAGTATGAGCCATCATGCGGGTGATGCCTGTGTTTTGTGCTCCGAGGGAGATTTGCCAGCGCATCGTTTTTTCAAGCACATTAGCCATTATCTTGTGTACTGATATATGGTTTTATCGTGTTCGCTGCAGTTTATTTTCTCAATTTCCTTTGATGGGAAAATTAAGGCATGGCTTTATGACAATCTGGGTTCTAGGGTGGAGTATGATGCTCCAGGAAAATGGTGTACTGCAATGCTCTATAGTACCGACGGAACTAGGTAAGCATACATGTGTTATTTTGCTCACTAGAAGTGTTTCTAGTTGTTGATATGTAATATTTTACTTTTTGATTTGAAGGTTGTTCTCATGTGGAACAAGCAAAGAGGGAGACTCGCATTTGGTTGAGTGGAAGCAAAGTGAAGGATCTATCGAAAGGACATATTCTGGATTCCGTAAAACATCATCTGTAGTGCATGGTGTCGTGCAGTTTGATACAGCTCATAATCGCATTTTAGCTGCTGGTGAAGAGAACCGAATTAAGTTTTGGGATGTTGATAACACCAACATGCTTACCTGCATTGAAGCCGATGGAGGCTTGCCAGTAAGTCTCAATTCCCTATTATATTTGTCACCTTTTTTTCTCCGTTTAGTTTAATAATCTAACCCCTGTACATTCTGACAGAGATTTCCACGGTTAAGGTTCAACAAAGAAGGCAATCTTCTTGCTGTTACTACATTAGAGAATGGCTTTAAGATACTTGCAAATACTGATGGGCTCAGATCTTTACTAGCTTTTGGTAGACAACCTTTTAATGTGTTTCATGTGGCTACAATGCCAGAAACTCGAGACCAAGCCAGAAAGGTTCAATCCATTTTTCCTGAGGAGTCAACCCCATGCATTGCACTCTCCACGAATGATTCTAATGTGATAGCTGCATGTGGTGGAAAATTATCCAAAGTCCTCGACGATGATGACCTTCTTAGGGAGATCATCGTACGTGTCGGCTTCTCCACCACTCTCGTCCGTGCTGCTCTCGTCTGCAAGCGATGGTACCAGCATGCCTCCGAACCCGCCTTTCTCTGCCGTTTCCGTGAGCGCCACCGGTCCCGCCTCCTCGGCTTCTACCTTGTGGACAAGGAGGGTAGTAAAGTGGCTTCCATTCGCTTCTTCCCAATGCTACCTCAGCCCCCAGAGCTTGCAGTCGTCATCCACCGTGTGGTGAGCTACAGTTTAGAGTCCTACCGCGGTGCGCCAGCCAAATTCCTCTGCTCCCAGAGCAGCAGAGTCCTCATCAGCTTGTACAACCAGAACAATCGCAACAAATTTACAATTGGGGTGCACAATCCTTTGTGTCCTGAGAGAGGCCTGGTTGTCGTCCCACCATGCCCACACGTCCAAATCCAGGATGTCTATTACCGCAATCTCCTCTCGGTAGGTGAAGTCGATGGCTTGTCCTACTTGCATGTGTCGGTGGTGTCTAACATACAGTTAACAACATCAACGGTGCACGTACACATGCTGCGACATGGTGATGGTGTGTGGCGCATGTATCATACCTTGGACACAGACCAGCTCCTTGATCTGCGACAAGAACCAAAAGCTGTGTTTGCTGACAATAAAATCTACATAGCAAGCGCCCAGAAGGACATTGTTGTCTTGGATTTGAATGCCTCGAGCATCTCCACAGTTCAGCTCCCACAAGGGGTGGAGTATGGTGATAGAGATATCATGTTGGCAAAGGCTGATGATGCTTCTGGTGTGTATGTTATCCATGTCAAGAAGATTCAACTTCACATTTGGCTGCACAAGGGGGGCAACTGGTTGCTGATCGACACCATTTGTTTGCGTGACATGGTTGCTAATTTGAGGATCCCAGGTTGCGAGGTTGAGGATGAGCACAATGCTCCTCTCCAGATACACCATGTAGGTGACTATGCTGAGTTTGTGTTCTTGGAGATGGGTCGATGCGCACTCCACTTAGATGTCAAGTCAATGCAGTTGCATAAAGTGTATGACATGACAGAAGAAGAACTGCAATTGGGTGACATCCATCCTCTCATGATGATCTGGCCTCCCACATTTCCTGTGGTCAAGGATAATCTGTAAGGTTTGCCTTTTTGTCCTCTTGTGGAGGTTACAAAGTTCTGTTGTGTGCATCGTCCATTGCCTGTTAGGTATTGCTGTGGAAATATGTTGGGTATATGGTTATCCTTAGGCCTTTTTGACAGGACTAGCTAAGTGACATTAGAGAATGCTTGCCGTGCAATAATATGAAATAACTTACTGCAGTAGTGTTCACTTATGGTCATAATATTGGACCGCTTTGTGGGTGTGTTTCTTCTATTTAAAGCTTTGGATGGAACTAGGCATAATGCTTCTTGAACCGGTTACTCCCCCCTTACTAAGTCTGATAACATCCGTTTGTGATGTTACTGAAAAATGATTTGTTTGCTGTTCTTAGTATGCACCTCACATTGAGTCGTATCACTGTTTTCTGAACTATCAGCACAAAATTAGAAATTAGGCCTACAAAAGTACTCCCACCGTAAAGAAATATAAGAGCGTTTGAAGGAGTATAACATCATGTATATGAAGAACTGGAAGTTGCTTAGCCTTGTTCACGTGTTGACCACAATATATTTCTCGTCCCAAAACAGTATCACAAACCCATCAGACATGGAATCTAGCTTTGTATTTCTTAAGTATAATCATGTTGTAATTTTCTACTGCCTACCTTTGAATTGTGAACCCCAAGCTATCTGTTAATACTTGTTTTTCTTTAATCCGAATGTTGTAGATGGATTGCATATTTTATTTTGGAACTCTAGTGGGTCTTAATTTATACATGTGTATGCCTGAGCTTATGCATGATTTGTGATTCAGATATATAACTCTCAAAATTTTCCTTATATATGACAATTGGAAAGTTGCTGGTCCAAGCTAATGGTGGTTAATTTGTGTTTGTGTGGCATTTTTCCTTGTATGATCAGAATTTTGCTGTACTCGAATGCAGATTATAAATTGGAAACATCTCCGTTTAGGATATGATGCCATTTAACCTATAGCATTTCGGAAAAGAAAAGGAAACTATATTTCTCCAGATTCACTATTTGATTTCCGAGCACGCGTAACGTTTTAGTATAGTTGTACTAGCCACTTGTCTTGTTAGTTCATTTAATTTTGTGATGTGTTAAGTGGCCGAAAAGTATTCTGATGCTAAATTATCTTACATGTTCCTTTGTTTCCTCTAAAACAGCAATGCCATGTGATGAAGGACAATATACGCAAGCATTTGGATGGTCAGCGACCAGGAAGAGCAGAGAACTGTATTTCCTTAATCAGTTGCAGTTCTAACTATCTTTAGTATACTTGTAGCGGATTTATTAGATGCTATGTAACTGGAGCAGGTATTCCTATGCTATGGTACCACGACTGTTTGTGACCGAGATCTTTGTTTCATGCACAAGACTCTTTGTATGTATGTATGTTTGGTAGCCATCCCGTCTGGTGTCTGCTTATGTCAGTCTTGTTGTTGCTTGGCTGAATTGAAGAGGGGAGAGTTACTTGATTGCTCTGTATGGTGCTTGACTGAACAGAAGAAACTGCAAGTGGGATTCACTGTCCCAGGGATGTTTCTGTTGCGAGGACAAACAAAATAGCAAGAAGGAAGATAGAACAGAGTAGTGAGCTGCATTCCTCTGTAGAGCTGGTCGACCAATGATTTATCTGACTGCAGAATTGTGTACTGGATGACCAGGAGGTGCGGTTTTGCTATATTTTGTTGTGGGAACCATTTTGTTGTTCATGATGATGCTCCTGTCAAGCTCAATTTATTAGACAGCAGAATTTTGCATATTACTCCTAGAGTGCAGAATTTTTTGTTGGATTAGGAGGTGCTCAGTTGTGCTGGATTGGTCAGGGGTATCATGTGACTAGAGAAGATGTTATGTAACTGGTTTATGTTTTTGTTCCTGGTGGATGAGATCTCCTATCTATTTGTTGTTATTTGCTCGAGTCATGTGGTCGGCTCTATGTAGTATTATTCTACTCAATTTGTGTGCAGCTTTCTGCAGCAGTGTGTATGCAACTGGAGCAGCAGGTATTTGTATAGCCAATCCCATGCTATGGTTACTATGGCAAAGATGTTTGTGTGGTAGTAAGGCTGGGTAGAAGACTAAAGAATGTGGTTGTTGTTACCTTGGGCAATTGGAGCTTGAATGAATTCCAATATCTTGAATAGCAATGTGTCCTTATATATATTTGGTTTTAATATAAATAGCAATGAGTCCTTATATGTGTATACTCCCTCCATCCCTCCTTGCCAGAAAAAATAGAAACTCCCTCCGTCCCAAAGTAAGTGTATTTGATTTAGTACAACTTTGTATTGAGCCGAGGGAGTATATGTTTTCTATAGCCAACAAAAAAAGTTGTAACAGAATAAGATGTTAGCTATGTATCGTCAAAAAATGTGTGTACGCCACTAGTGACAGAGCTAGGACTGACTACAGCCTCCTCTCTCTCAAAAAAGATTAGGGTTCCTCTTCCTCCCGCTCGCTTCGCCGCCGGTCTGCCTCGTCTTCGGTGGCTTTAGGGTCATTGGGGCGCGGTGGATCTCGGCCCTTGTTGGTGGGAGGGCTCTGTTTTTAGATGTTTCTTTGAGTTTTGTTAATGTTTTTTTTGAAAGAAAGTTTTGTTAGTGTTTGTGTCTTGTTCAGTTCTCTAAAGATGAATAAGGTTTCTTCCCCGCCTAACCCATGTTCCGATGGTGTGTCTAGAACCGTTGCTCGGCTGTGGAGAGGTGTGTCTCAAGCGGATATATCTTTTGTTTTTCTTGCTATTTTCCTATGTACGTCACACTACAATATCGCGTCGGAAATAGAGATTATGTTCCGAACATTCTTTTTTGCTCTATTTGGGTACAATGTTTGATAACTATCTATCTGAACATGAATTGACTCTTTATATAGCATCTGATAATAATTTCGTCCTAAATGAATTAAGCATGAATAGAGCGAAAATTAACTAATGTATTTTTATTCAAATTATTTTTTCCAAATGAATTTATACATGCAGAGCAATCTGCATCATGCCTTGTCATCTATGTTGGGACCTTGTACATCCACCTTGAATTCCAAGAACATTTTATGGATCTTAGCACACAATTTGAATTCCAAAAACAACTTTTCAATGCTCAGAACATTTTTAGAATACAATAGTATTTTTCGGAATCTATAAACAAAACTTGAATTCCAAGAACGTTTTTAATGCTTTTACCATTTAACACTTTTTTGAATGTCTGGAACATTTTTTGAATCCATGAACAAACTTTAATTCAAAGAACGTTTTTAATGCTTTTACCATTTATTGAATCCAAGAACAATTTTTGAATGTGTTGAATTTTTTTTATCCAAGAGGATTTTCAAATTTCAAAGAACAATTATTGATTGCCCTGCACATTTTTTTATCCAAAAATTAATTTCTTCAATGGCTCTAATGTTTTCAAATCTGTGAAAAATAAATAAATTCTGAGAACATTTTTTGAATTCAAGGACGTTCTTTGAATGTCATGAAATTTTTGGAATCTTGTCACTTTGAATAACAACTTTTGAATTGATGAACAATTTTTACTGCCTTGACTTTTTTTTTAATACAGAACAAGCTTTGTGTTTCTTGTGTAGCAATGAAACAGCGGCAAGAACCAGCTTTATGTCTCTATTCCTACTTTCTGTGTCAGTTCCTGTCGTGTAGATGTATTTTTTAGAAGAAAAAATCACTAGCGAGCTTCACAGCAGTGAAATAAATAGGCTACTAGGTGTGCATCGAACCAGAAACACAAGCAGCTGCCAGTCCAACCAGGAAAAAAAACTGAAGCAGGTACTAGTCTAGAAAGAAAAAAAAAACGACCGGAAATAGAAACAGGAGCGAAGAAAATCAGACCATCGAGGCCGCCAGTGGGATGCTCTGTGCGAAGCAACGTCTGTTTGACGCAAGGAGCGTCGTATAGGCGCTCTCAGGCCTCCCCTCGCTAGCCGGCCCACGAAAGCCTATTCCAATCCAGCCCATAAAGCACAGCACATCTTTTCTGACATGGAACAACACGTACACATTGCAAGCCCACCAAAAAAAACACGTACGCATTGCATTCTATTTTAAAAAAGGAAAAAAAACGTACACATTGCATGTTCCCCTCGAGGAAAAATTAAACAGAACTAACACTTCAACCTGTGTATTCACACAGGCTAGCTATAATAATAGACTGAGTGCAAACAACTCATCAACGTACTAATATGTCGTCATTTGAGACCGGACCCAGATTTGGTGAACATAGTTCCACGCGCACCTCTTATACGAATGGTAAATTAGAAAAAATTGTTAGGAAAAAACGAAAAAAACTAAATATTTGTCGTAACATACTTAGTCAATCGGTATACTCGCGTATGAAGTTTCACAAAGAATTTACAACCTTGTTATTCTGGGAAAAAATGACAAAATCGAAGCTATATTAAAAGTACCCTTTAAAGAATAGTAAGGTCCCAATTGTATTTTCTCGTTTCTCTGTAAAATAAGTCGTTTGGATCCACTAGGCATGAAGCACTCTTCCTCGCCCTCCAAAGGTTCTGTCCAGGAGCGCTCGCCCTCCGCCGGCGGTGATCCCTACCCTTTGCCGGCCCCGACCATGATTCAGATGCTCAAATATTAATTGACAACCTTTGGAAGAGGAAGAAAATCTACCCAGGGTTCTTCTTGAGTATGTTCTTGGTGATGAAAATCGGCTAACACATGTATTTTACTAGGATTATGATGCAGTCCTGGATGACAACTTAGATGGCCTTGTATCTCTGAATATTTGTACTGAAGCTCATTGGTACTTGTGTCGACATTTTGCTAGGAGATTATCATTTTATCTCTGAATATTTGTACTGAAGCTCATTGGTACTTGTGTCGACATTTTGCTAGGAGATTATCATTTTATATCTGAATATTTGTACTGAAGCTCATGTGTTGGATGAATTTTTGATGGCCTTGTATCTCTGAATATTTGTACCGAAGCTGATGGACACTTGTGTCAATATTTTGCCAGGAGATTATCATTTTATCTCTGGATATTTGTACTGAAGCTCACTTGTTGGATGCATTTTAGATGGCTTTGTATCTCTGAATATATGTGCAAGAATAGTGTTTTTCATGGCAAACTGTTTCTTTTTACTAGCTAGAATTAGACAGGGTAATAAGGCACAAGAGGTTAAATTGTTTATTCAGTCAGTCGGTAATTTTCTTCTATTCATCTGTTCTACCAAACTAATTCCGGTGGTCATTTCAATAGTTAGTTTCTTATACCTATCGAGGCGAGGTGTCCAGACTACTAGATCTTGGTACTGTAATTTATAATTTTAGCTTTAGGTTTTATTAAGTAAAGATAAATATCGAGTTTCCATCCTCATTTTCTTTTCCAAACTATGAAGAATCATGTTTTTTTGTGAGGAGCCGCAGGGTGCACCTTGAATCCAAGTGCACCATATTTTGTATGGCATAAACAATATCCAAATCACAAAGTTGATGGAACTAGTTTCAACTTGTGCACAAGTATTGGAAATAAAATAAGCTTCACAAGTAGACCAGGTAAAAGTAAACTATATTGTGACACTACTTATGGCACTAGAACCTGTTGTATTGGGAGTATTGTGCAGTTGCCAATTGTGTTGCAGAATCCTGTTGCCATCAGTGCCACCTACTTATCATCAAATGCAGGTGTAAACTATATTATCCAATACACTGTCTGGTTCTACTGCACAACACAACAGGTTCTAGTGCCATAAGTAGGTGGCACTGATGAGACATAGTCCCTCCGTTCCAAAATAGATGACTCAACTTTGTACTAATTTTAGTATAAAGTTGAGTCATCTATTTTGGAACGGAGGAAGTACATGGCAAGGATGAGAAGCATCAATGATCCCCGAGGGTTGAGAGCAATAAACAGTCTCACCAAGAGAGCCATGAAGAAAGGCATTTTTGACATCCATTTGGTGAATGGGCCATGAAAGAGACGTGGCAAGGCTGAAAACCACATGAATGGTAGCCGGTTTGACAACCAGACTAAAAGTATCCGTGTAGTCGACCTCTTCTTGCTGAGTAAAGCCAAGAACCACCCATCAAGCTTTACATCGATCGAGCTGCAATCGGGGTTGAGCTTGTCCCCAAAAATCCACATCCCCTGTGATCACATTGACACTTGCAAGTCTAGGAACCAAACACCAAGTATCATAATTTAACAAAGCATTAAATTCTTCAAGCATGTCATTGTGCCAATGAGCATCCTTAAGTGATAGGAGGATGGAATAGGGGAACTAGTGTCTGACGTTGTGGCTGTGAAGAGGCGTTTGGGCTGAACAAATCATGTTGTGGCCTAGTACTAGGGAGTTGAATGAACAATAAGACGGACCCTATGACTACATACATGTCCGACTATTTCATCACCATAGATACATTGATCTTCGTGTCCAGCTCCCTCTCTTCTTTGAGTCAGAACCCTCAAAACTACCTCATATATCTACTACTCGTTGTATGATGAAATCAGGGGTATGGTTTTCTCTCCTTATTTCTCTTCAAGGAAGAACCATTTCGAGCATGTAGCTAGGAATTGGGGGCACGGGGGAAGAAGCACTCACTTGTGGTGTCGAATCTTTTACAATGACTTTGCAAGACACTACCAGAACTTTTCCAGCGCCTCATGTAAAAGCTTTCAAGATGTTCTCATTATTATAAACCAAGTTCAACCATACATAACAGAACTGAAAGTCCACACACACTACACAAATAGCCTGACAGAGGAGGCATCTTGAAACGCAAATCGAAAGAAATATCCCCTACCGCTTTAGTAAAATGCGCATCAACACAGGAGGATAGGAAGCCTCCGAACTATGCACTCATTACCCTATCTTGATTCATGAGCATGAGCGTGGAAAACATGTACCGAGTTAGCAAAAGTCTGCAACTGAAGAGCAAATGTAAACACGCTAGATTTCTTATGTAAGAAGTTGAACGATATTCGCGCCTGTTTGGGGTATGGTCCAATATTGCATATACACAATACAGTGGGAGTTTACCTTCACGGCTGTCACTCTAAATGATTCTCAGTACAGTCTGAAGATAAAAAAAACATGAACATCCACACATATCGACGACATGTAGTGGGCATGTTTTTACATGACAACCTCATTAAAGAAGGGTGCTTCCGATAGAAACAATTCTACAAACATGTGTGATAAGGTCGAGCGTGAACCGTAAAAATAGTCTTTTTTAGAGGCTAAAGTTCCAAGCACCCCTGACTAAAGAGAGGCTAAGACTAGTCTTGAAGCTAAAAATTTTTAGTCATAGGAAACCTACTAAAATATGTATTAGCCCTCTCTCTCCTTATTTAATTCCTCTCCTTTAACACATGCGAGTTCTGGATTGGAGGGTTTGGAGAATAATAAATGCTCAATAACTTGATTTTAGTCTCTTTAGTATTTGGATCCAAGCATGGGAGAGGCTAGCAAGTTTTAGTCCCACTATTTTTAGTCATGGGACTAAAACGTATCCAAGCACCCTCTAAGTCACTTTGGTCAATTCGTTAGTCATGTAGGAAGCATTCCCACCGAATGCCAGTTGAATGATTTTTTTGCAAGAAGGAAATCTGTTTCCTACTCACAGTTCAGCTTGTTGATTGCCTATGCTGGCCAAGGTATTTCCACTGAAGATGAGAGACTGGATGTACTGGGGCTGGAGGTCCTCTCTCTTGTTAACGTTGATGACCAGCTCTGCTCTTTTTGCATTCCTTATCCTGTCTCTTTGTGCAGGGAACCACAACACCAGTGGACTCTGTATCCTTATTCCTGAAAGAGCAGATATCCACCTAGAAAAAAAATAACTTCGTTGACAATATCCATGGTTCCTCCTGAAGCTAAGGCGGCGGCAGCTCCTTAGTCGCGGCCCGCTGGGGCTCTTTGTCATGCCTCGCGTTGGCGGCGTCCCCAAGCTCCCCCCTCTCCCTTACCCTGTTGGTCTGTTTAGACCCACTGGTGGTGTGATCGTGCTTTTGGTATCATTATTCCTCAAAGAGCAGATATTCAAGCTAGGAGGTCATTCCGATAGGTTTTAATATTGATTTTGGTGATCCTGGTTTACCGAGGAGTTTTGTTTCCTCTTGGCAGTCTAGCTTGTAGCTAGACAGAGGAGGGTCACCTAGTATCCAAGGCCTTTCCTGCTAAGAGGAGGAACTGCATGTAGTTGAGCTGGAGGTCCTCTCTTTCGTTGACTGATGATGCCTTGCCCTCCTCCTTGTGCATTCCTTATCTGCACTTTGCTGACTTACTTGCAGGAAGGGAAGTACAACATATGCAACTCTGCATCCTTCGTTTTCGTCCAGCTTCAGCAGCAGCGACTGCCGCAAACCTATCACTTTCTTCCCAAGACAATCATGGCTGGAGAAACTCTCTTTTGTGATGCCCACATCTCTGCACTTTGTGCATTCCTTATCTGAATCTACCATGTTCCAGAATCTTTAAACCATGCTGACGTAATTGCCGAAAACCACAACAGCTGGGACTCTTTCATTGAGCTACTGCACCAGCGACTACCTCAAACCTATTACTATGTTGGCTCGGCCATTGCGGCAGTGAGGATTATGAAGCAATCTACCACGCAATTATCCAACCAAGTCTTGCGACCACAAGCAAATTAAGTCTGGGCTGAAGCTGGGATCACAGAGTCCTGTGTTTGTTATTGGAAGATCCATTGACGATAGTTTCTGCCTACTTGTTTACGTTCATCTTTCTGTTCTTCTGTTCACTGCAGTCATCTTTGAAAATCATGTTAAGTTCACTGCAATCATCTTTGACAATCATGTTAAGCATTGGTATCCATGTTCTCAAAAGCAAACAAAATAATAAGGCTCAGCTAACATATACCTGAAACAGAAGACATAAGTCATATTGCTAATAAATCATACATTTGCTAATAATATCTGACAAAAATAATTTCCCTCAACTTATCAGTACACATCTAGAGGATTTCTTGATACATCGATATCTCTCTGCTGATATTCACCATTCTGACACAAGCTAATAGGACTGGATTTATCCATGTACCAAGTTTGAGAAGAAACTTCAGTAGAGAAAAGGCAGGAAGCATCTCTTTATAATTTAGACCAAACATTAAATGCATGTATTAAACAATACGAGCGAGATAGTTGGATTGCAGTTGGATTTTAATAAATCCAATGGTGCGACAATCGAAATGGTATCCATGTTAAGTTCACTGCAGTCATCTTTGACAATCATGTTAAGCGTTGGTATCCCTCAAAAGCTAAGAAAATAATATGGCTCAGTTAATATATACCTGAAGACACAAGTCATATTGCTAATAAATCATACATTGCTAATAATATCTGTCCCTCAACTTGAGCTTTCTACTGACCAGTTCTTTTTTTTTGCGGGTTCTACTGATCAGTACACATCGAGGGGATTTGTTGACACATAGATATCTATCTACTGTTATTCACCATTCTGAGACCAGCTAATAGGACTGGATTTATCCATGCACCCTAGTACTTAGCAATTAGAAGGAGATTACAGTTTGAGAAGAAACTACAATAGAGAAAAAGCATGAACCATCTCTTTATAATTTAGACCGAACTTTAAACGCATGGATTAAACAATAGGAGCGAGATGGGTGGATTGCCGTTGGATTTTAACAAAAGTACATAGATGGAGAATCTTAGACATTTAGTGTACTAGTTCAACTAAAGTACATACCTTGTGTATTCTATAGGCCCCGGCCGGGCTTATATAATTACCATGAGCATCATCAGTGATCTTCTAAAGTCCCCTGTTTATACAACTAAAATAAAGCACCTCCCCTACAATAATTGTCCTTCTGCCTGCTCGCGCTGGTACAACGCGTGGTTGCCTGCCTTTTCTAGTCCGTGTTTGGTCAGGGATTAGTAATACTAACTACCTTGTGGCGAGGACTATTGTCACGTCCATGATGCTTGACCAAACTCGTCTGAATAGACGAGAACGCCGGTCAAGATCGCGCGTCACCATAGATCCACAAATGCTCTCCTCCATTTGATTTTTCAGCGACAGCTCAGCATAGCAAACCTCTGTGTTCTGTTAGCATATTCTAGTGTCCGGTTCACCCAACGACAAAGCTCCTGGTGCGGCGATTTCTTCGCCGACTATCTTGTTTTTAGTTTCCTTGCTGTTGGGGAAGTTCGTGCAGGTTGCCTTGACCGCTGCCCATCTGACTTATGTGAACATATACACACCTGATTATTCGTTTAGCATGGACCTACTGAAACACTTTGCACTATTAGCAGCTTGCATACAGCTGCAACTGCAAACGAGTGTGATCTATAAATACATACAGCCCAAAGTAACGTAGGCACATCTAATTAAGCAAGCAAGAGCTTCCCAGGAAATTTTCCACAAGTGAAAAATTAAGGTAAAGTGAAGATAGACAGAGACCGGCCGTGTGTGAGCTTAGTAGGGTACACTCCGTGAGCATGGGCATGGAGTTCGCTACAGGGGCGACGAGTGCCCTCCTCCCCAAGCTGGGCGAGCTGCTCCGAGAGGGGTATCACCTGAAGAAGCATGTGAAGCAGGGGATCAAGGACCTCATGGCCGAGCTTGAAAGCATGCAAACTGCCCTCGTCAAGGTGTCTAACGTCCCCTTGGACCAGCTTGATCCTCTGGTCAAGCTTTGGGCCAATGAGGTTAGAGAGCTACCTTATGTCATCGAGGACAGCCTCGACTCTTTCATTGTGCACTTCGAGGGGCATGAGCTACCCAAGCCCCACACCACCTTTGTGGCCTTCATCAACAATATGCGCAACAAGATCACTGAGTTCAAGATGCGCAAAAAAATAGCCAATGACATCAAAGACATCAAGAGCCGCGTCAGGAAGGTGAAGGAAAGGTATGATCGGTACAAGGTCCATGATGTTGCTGCAAATCTTGCCAGAACCACAGTCGACCCTCGTCTATCGGCTATCTATAACAAGGTGTCTTACCTTGTTGGCATTGACAAGCCAATTGACGAGATAGTGAAGAGCTTGTCCAAGGCCAGTCATATGCCCGAGAGATCAAAGCTCAAGACCGTCTCCATTGTTGGATTTGGAGGGTTGGGCAAGACAACTCTTGCCAAAGCGGTGTATGACACGCTTAACAAGAAATTCGACTATGGTGTTTTCGTCCCAGTGGGTCAGAATCCTGACATGAAAAAAGTTCTTGGGGACATCATTCATGAACGACCTACAAATGTGTACTATTGCATCAGTGATGGATGTATGGCAACTCATCAACCACCTGAGAAATTTCCTTTCTAATAAGAGGTACACACTACTCCACCTTATGCTAGTCAATACAATCTTTGTGTGTCCTATGCCTAACAATAGGCGAGTCACCATACTTTACTTTACTTACCATCAATTGCACTCTTATATGTCATCCATTACTTTTGTGGATTTTCATATATACAGATCATATTTTGGTTGTTGTGGAGTCAACTCTCCATTTTATTGTGTATATAGATAAAAACATCTAGAATAGCCATCTGAAAATGATTGCATGTTTCATACTAGATTCAAGATGGCAATTAATATAGACTATTAGGAAATTAAACTACCCAAAGCAGACCTTAGAGCTCATACAACTTATAAGCATGAGAAAGTGATGGCAATTTTCTTCTTAGAACTTAGTACAAAATTGTTACTCCCTCCGATCCATATTACTTGTCAGTCAAGTGGATGTATCTATACATAGTTCAGTGCTGGATACATCCGTTTGAGTGACAAATAATATGGACCAGAGCGATTAATAAATCCTTCATTTGTGCTTACTTGTCTAGGTTTACTTGCGCTTTTGTTTTCCCACACTAACAACTTAAGTTCTCCTTTCGAGTCGGGACTTCTTTTATGTGTTTGTTATGCCTTTTTGGAATTGAGGTTGGCATGCTCATCCTGTTTTAGTGGATAGCACACTACATATGGTTTTACTAATTCAAGGCTCTTGCCTTATATGAAAATAGGTACTTGATCGTTATCGATGACATATGGGATGTACAAACATGGGAAATGATTAAATATGCTTTTCCGGAGAATAATCTTGGAAGTAGAATAATGGCAACTACTCGTATTTGTGAAGTAGCCCAAAGAGTTGGTGGTATTTACAACATGAAGCCACTCACTGATGGTAACTCCAAAAAATTATTCTCTTCGAGAATATTTGGGGAGGAAAGTACCAGTCTTGATAACCAGTTTGTTGAAGTATCTGATAAAATTTTACAAAAGTGTGGCGATGTGCCATTATCCATCATTACAATAGCTAGCTTGCTTGCTAGTAAACAGAGGAAGGATTGGTCTAAGGTTTATGACTCTATTGGTTTTGGGCATGAAGACAATGAAGTTGTTCAGAACACGAGAAAGATATTGGCTTTTAGCTATTATGATCTTCCCTATTACCTGAAGACTTGTTTGTTGTACCTAAGTGTTTTTCCAGAAGATAACTGGATCAACAAAAATACATTGATATGGCGGTGGGTTGCAGAAGGTTTTGTTAGAAATAAACAGGGGAGAGGGTCATTTGAGCAGGGAGAGAGCTATTTAAACGAGCTCATAAATAGGAGCATGATCATGTGGATAGAGCCTTGCCATAGAGTCAATGTAGGGCGTTGTCGTGCTCATGATATGGTTCTTGATCTCATCCGTAGCTTATCGAGTAAACTAAATTTTGTGACAATACATGATGCAGAGCATCACAAGAACCATCTGACAAGCAACAATGCTCGAAGATTAGCCCTCCATAAAATAATTATCGGGAACACCCCAAGCATGGAAATGGAACACATGCAGTCATTTAATGCTAGCATGTGTTGTGATAGTAGGATGCTCTCACTTGTGAGGTTTAAAGTACTTCGTGTACTTGTTCTAGAGGAATGTGAATTTCTGGCAGGAGGTTGTCACCTTGAGCATGTCGGAAAGTTGGTTCACTTGAGATACCTAAGACTGTTTGGCACACCTATTGACAAGCTTCCTAGAGAAATAGGAGAGCTTATGTACTTACAGTCACTGGATGTAAGGGAAAGTGGTATAGAAGAGTTGTCCATGTCTGTAGGTCAGCTAACAAAGTTGATGTGCTTGCGTGCTTCCAAGGGCACATGAATGATGGCGGATGTAGGGAAGTTAACCTCTCCACAAGAGCTGCGACTATTCTCGGTGGATAAGATTCCAAACTTCTTCAAAGATTTGGGGAAGCTAACGGAGTTGAGGGTGCTCGAGATCCATTTTGACAAAATGGATGAGAGTGCTCACAGGGCCCTTGTGAGGTCTCTATGCAACCTCCGCAGAATCAAAACTCTAGAGATATATTGTGACTCAGAGGATATAGATGAGTGGCCTCATCATGGCGGCTGGGAAGATTGGATGCCAGCACCTTACGAGATTCGTGAATTGACACTGTCTGGCATAGTTTTACCAAGACGGCCATCGTGGATGGTATCCTCGTGTGTTCCCCACCTATCATACCTATTGTTCACAGCACAGGTGGTGGAACAACAGGATTTGCAGATCCTCGGAAGTCTGCGATCACTCCGATGCCTCTACATCTAGAGTGTGGACAACTGCTCTCCGTATAGTATTCTAGCAAGTGACAAGTTCCAAAACTTGAGATATTTGGGCACCAACATAGAAATCAAGTGTGGGGAGGGTGTGCTGCCTATGCTTCATAAATTGGCATGTGGTGCCAGCGTTGGAATGGAAGATGTTGGCTTGGTACCGGGTAGCATGCCTTTACTGGAGAAAGTCACCTATTGGCTAAATTGCAAGAATTGCGACGATGATGAGATGGAGAAAACACAAGCAAAATTGAGGCACGCCACCAGGATCCACCCCAATAGTCCTGCCCTTGCAATACGAAGGCATAACTACAAGGATGCTTCTTGTGGCACAGATCAGCACCAAGAACAGATGCTACCGAGGTTAATTATTCAATCACTGAAGCGTGTGCTACATGATGGTGGAGAGGTTTCGGCCACTGATGAAGAGGTATGTATATGTACACAACCAGACATGCCTTTATAGGATCTATAATATATCTATATATTTATGTTAACTATTTCAGCCAGACGATGGTGGTGCACGGCTGCACGCAAGGTAAGTCGTATCACTAGAGAAGAAGGGGCACCGACCATTGCTTAAATCATGGTGTGCCACTAGGAGGTACCTACCTCATTCTCTTCAATTCAGTTTTGATACACATCTATGTGTATGCATACATGTTTTTGTGTCTTCGTGTCTTTGTCTTCTACTTCTTCTTCCTACCACATATGCACCCCTTCTCTAGATAAACTAGTAAACATGAATTTAGAGTTTTAATTTTTAACCCATGTGTTGTTTTGTAATGTACTTGTGTTAACTGTATATTTTTTAACATTGTTTTTGGTCTTCTTTGGATCTCGACCCTCATGATTTTTCTTCTATGAAGACCTTTTGGATTATATGGCTGTTGTCCAATTTTGGGTGAATTGCTTCTCTATGTCTTTATTTAGTACTCCCTCCGTCCCATAATGTAAGACGTTTTTTAACACTACTCCCTCCGTCCCATAATGTAAGACGTTTTTTGACACTACACTAGTGTTAAAAAACGTCTTACATTATGGGACGGAGGGAGTACAAACTTCAATATCTACTCCTATGGTGTTGTACGTACTCCCCTCTGCTCTTTTTATTATATTAAGACACTCATACCTGTCCTTTCCTATGTGTGCATTGTTGTCAAATTTATGCACATATTTCAATTTTTGAATCTTTTCTCCTTACAAATTAAGAAAACCATCGGCTATAAGCCAAGCCATTTTGCAGTTTGTGTGTACCAGAATGATGGACAGATCCCTATTAATTTTTCTAGGTATGCTGAGCTCCTGGAAGACAAGGACGATGGGCCTTCATCTCGACCTTCGCATACCCCTTCCTTTACTTTGTGGAGGGTCCTCGTGGAGTGGTTGGCCTCAGGGATAATGCAGAGAACATCTTTTTGGATGAGACAAAAGATGTGTGCAATGGGTAGGAAAGTGGAGAAGTTGTACCAGAGGGACCCGGCCAACACTGATCTCATAGTGGTGTGTCCAGTTAAGATGCATAAAATTCAGGAATATGAGAAAACAGCAGAGAAAATTTCGAAGCCCAGTAGATTTTTGTGTAGAAATATGCTTTTGCATCCACATATTATTGCAACTCTTTGTTTCAGCCTGGGCAATGATGAACTAGGTCGTAGTCCTGTAGCCCGGACACAAGCAAGGCAACATCTGTTCAAGCTTATCTTTTCAGAACTGCAATATATTCTTCTAGACTTTCCTCTGTCCTTTTCTCTGATTTTAATATTAGGCTATTCACGTCCAGAAAACCAATGAAGATTGCTGTAAGATTTTTCAATGAAGAGGCCAAATCATGCAAGCAGATTAGGATTAAAACATAGATATCTCTTTCGCACAAAAGAAAACATAGATATCTGGCCCAGTGGGCACGCATTTTGTCGGGACAAGTACAACAAATACTTACTAGACATATAAAAATACTGCTTTATGAAATTTCACATTTTAAATTCAAGATGATGAAAACAAACGGTACTTTGTTGAGACATACTCTTTATGATTCCATTAACATATAGTTTTGCACAGATCTAGAGGAATTACATGTGCTAATGTCGACATAGTGCCTTGGTAGCAGCTCTTCCCCAACAACCCCACTAGCAATCTATGATAGTATATTTGTAGCAGCTCTTCCCTAACAACCCCACTAGCAATCTTTGATAGTATAATTTCTGCACATCTACAGAAAATTTGAGTGCACTAGTGAGACCACGTTCCCAGCCGTGTAAAACTTTGCCTCTCCATGAGTGTTTTTTTGCGGGAAGCCTCTCCATGAGTTTAATCGACATCGTAGAAGGGAATATGAAATTGTTAACTAAAAACCAACTAAGAGGGATAGGGGTCATTTGAGGTAGGAGAGATCTATTTCAATGAGGTAGTAAACAAAAGCATGATCTGATGGATAAAACTTGATGAACGTTGGGATGTTCTAAGTGGTTGTCATGTCCATGACATGGTGCTTGATCTCATTCGCACAATATCAAATGATGTAAACTTTGTTACAATAGATGCCATGGAGAAGAATAGCATATGTTCGCAAGGCAAACAAACCAATAAGATTCGCATATTAGCACTTCACGGAGGAAGTGCGGAACACAACTCTAGCATTGAAATGGAATGGGTGAGATCATTTAGTGCTATTTCGTGCAGTGATAGTGGAATGCCTCAACTGTCAATCTTTAA